CTTAAATTACAAGTATTTGGAATAATTTCTGTTCCCCTAGTAGATCAGGAACTCTTTGAGGGCAGTGACACTGTTTTATATATTTTGTATTTTACACATCATCTTAAATACAGAGGAGTATCAAAAATATATTTAACTATATTTGAGAAATATCTTCTAACAGAAAAAGAGCTTATAATTTTTAATCCCTAAATTAAACTGCTGCTTCTCTTTGATAATTTTTTCCTGTTACGTTATTTCATAAAGTCACTGAAGGCTCACCAGTTTTTCTCTCATACATCTATGTTTGTGGAATAACATTTCAAACTTTGTTCTTGACTTGCTTTCATCTTTTAATATTTGAGCCAAGGCCTTGGCAATTGTTTTCTTTTTCTGACGCTAAAAGAAGAGTTACTGAAACCTGTAGATTGTTATGCCTGCCTCACACGTTGCTGTGAGAGTTAAATGAACTGACGCACGTAAGTGCTTCAGATGGTGTCTGTCATCCAGTAAGTTCTCAACAAATACCCACTGGCACCACCACTTCTCTTGTTTTGGTGTTAATATTACTAATAAGGGAATGATCTAAACTCAGACCAAGAATCACCTTTTTCTGGTCATGACATCATAATTAACTATCTGGTGCTTCAGTACAAAGTATGTATTCATATAAAGGAGGAAAAGGATTGTTCAGTAAGTATTTCTGGGACCACTGGTTAATTACTTAGAAAACTATAAAGTTACAGCCTCACCTCACAAGCTTGATCTCATAATCACAGCTGAGTAATTCCAGATGGATTTAAAAAACTAAGTGTAAAGCCATGTAACCTGTTTTTTTTTTAATTTAAGAAAATTTGGGTATTTATCAGACTAAAGGGTAGGAAAGTCATAAAAGCAGTGGAAGAAATGACAAACCAAAGAAGTTCACAGATTCAAGTACATAAACCTTTAAAATTTCTTTGAAAAGGAAAACTGAAAATCTTAAAAAGTCTTTGCAACAAATAGGGCCAAGGGCTGTGACCTTAAAAGATACATGTGTGTGTATATATATTTATGAAGACCCCAATCAAAAAGTGATCAACATGTATTAACCAACAATTTACAGAAGAAATAAATGCAAATGAGTAATAAACGTGAAGGAGACTTCAGCGTTACTACCAGTTAAAATGAAATGATACAGTTTTTCACTTGTCAAATCACTACAGATTTTTAAATGGTAGAAGTCCTTTAATGAAAGAATGGTCCTAGGGGCAGTTGTACTTGGAAATGTACACTGTTATTAACCAGTCTGAGAAGCATTTGGGCAAGACCTGTCAAGCTTCTTGCAATTTGCCCTAATAAAGTCATCAGTGGCATAGAGTAACAGGAATGTACAGGGATGTTTATTGCTGTCTTGTTGAAATAAGGAGCAAATAACAAGCAACTTAAATGTCATCTTTTATAATAAAAAAGTAAATTTACTTTAAAACAGAACCATACAACTAGATAAGTTAAAAGTCATCATAAATTATTCCTACTGGAAAATATTAGATAAGAAGTGTCTCCGTGTGATGAAGCGCTGACCTGCAGCTGTAGTCTCACTGTGAAGCCACTTTCCTATTGTAATAAAGTAAACACGCTGTTCCTTAAAAAACACAAATCTTTAGCAGCTGTGGGTAAGAGCCCTGGAAAAAGCCTGTCCGTAAAAATACTGAGCCGATTATAAATTACAGAAATGTGAGATATAAGGAAAAATACATTTGTACGAAACTCTTCCCTTACTCCAAATTCCTTCTTACTGCTGCTTTCCTGCTCCTTCTTTTTAAAAGCCAGCTTTTGCTAAGACTTGTGCACAGAAAACAATCTAGAAGTAAATACGTTCCAGGTTATTTATTCACATTTATTGGAAAGAACCTTCTGCTTGCTTTCAGTTTAAGTACACATTCTTGGTCATCCTTTTAATAAGAGAACCACCTAAGACCTGAAGGCCAGAAATTATTAACCCCTTTTCCTGACATAAAGCTCGCTCTCCTTCAGGCTTAGACATAACCGAGGTGTGCTGACGCGTCACTCACTGTGGCACTGAAGTTTGAAAGTTACAGTCTCTTCGCTGCCTTGAAAGACAGGCCCAGTGTGCCATTACCTCTGGCCACCTGGTTTGGTTTTGCTATTATCTGAGAAGCAAGTTAAGTATTCTGGATTTCATACCTTTTGTCATATCCTCTGTTGTTCTGGGTTGGGGATTTTTCTTTTCTTGTTTTCTGACTCTATTTTTGTGTATGCACATGTATGTACACGTGTATATGCGTGTGTGCATATGTATGCGTATGTGTGTGTGTAAATGTGTGGTGTAAATATGGACCATATATAGGTGTGTGTGTTGAGGAAGTGAGGGATCATGGGTAAGGAGGATAGGAGGGAGGGATGCTCTCTAGATTTAAATATAGGAACAGAATTAGCACAGCCCTAGAAGAAGTATCTAAGAAAAAACGAAAGGATAGTGAATGTACACTTAAGTCTTTATTTCTTTAAAAAATGCCTTACCACTTTAATAAGGTACTTTTAATATTTATCATATTTAAATCTGGCTTTACTATTTTGTGTCTTTTGTAGCATTACCCAATTAAAAACATATCAGCCCCTTAATTTTGTTTTTCCCGTTCTTGCTAGACGTGTGCTGTGGGAACGGACACAGCATGTTCCTGCCTTCAAGGACTTTAAGTTTAGGTGGGACGTAGTCAGGTACTGATCTCTGTCCAGTCTGTAAGGCATTTGCCATATGCTAGGCACTGAGCGAATGCTTCACATGGATAGTTTAACCTTAATAACCCTGTGAGGGGTTGACAAGTATCCTTATGTTAAAGCTGAGAAATGAGCCTTAGAGAAGTTTTTAAACAGTTGGCAAGTCACCCAGTTAGTAAGTAAGCCAGTGACCCAGGCCTGTCCCCCTCCAGTCTGAGCCTTTAACACTTAGGGATCGGAGCTCCGATTGGATCCGTATGGACCTGGCTGACTTTTCCCTTTGTTTTGTAAATGAGGCACGGGGCCAAGGTACTCAAGCCTCAGAACCTGTGGGAATTCCACTTGCCTGGTCGTGGCCACCTGGAAAACATGTGAGCGAGGTCAGGGCCGTGTCGTGTTGCGTGGGCGCATGTGGTGACATCCCCGACGCGCTGGCCCGGGCGCAGGGGCCAAGCAGCTCCGATGCTCCCCAGGGCTGCTCCCAGCTCTGAGCCTTCATGGATGCAGTGTTTTGTCCTTTTGTCTGCCTCTTACATTTCTCTTGTGAAAATACCAAATGAATCCTGCTTCCTTTGTTGAAATTTATGGTAAGAAAATGAAACAGGAATGATAGTAGAGTTTTGGGGGTTGCCTTTTTAAAATTCTGTTTCGAAAATTTACTTTTTACTTTGATCAAGCACCTATTCTGTACCAAGCGCTGTACAACTTGCATCCCCAAGCCATCCTGTAGACCAGGGTCCTCCATCCTTGATGTCCATCGAGATCTCACATTAGAAATCTGGTTCCCTTCTCTTTTTCTCTCACTATCTCATTATTGTTTATGATGGAAGTGAAAACTTCGGTCAATCATAAAGACTCCATTAGGTAAAGCGCTTTCACTGAAATTCAGGATTTAGCTGGGATTCGTGGAACAGGAATCTTTGCGGTTTTCACTTTTGGGTTTATTGTGGGTGAGGCATTTACGTCTTAGATCCATTTCTGTGCCAGACGTTTGCAGTGATTTGATAATTGTTTTTTCATATCGCCTTTATTTTGAATATTATTAATTTTTAAATAGTAATATTTAATTTTCATGTACCCTAAAATTCACACAGATCAGTTATTACATTATTATGTTTTATTATAAAATACCTTTATTAAAGTTTTTTCTGTTTATCAAATTTGATCAGTATTCTTTTTAAAGAGAATCTATTTTTATACGTTTTATAATATACTTGGGTCTTGTTTTGTACTACGGAGCTGATATAGAATATATATCATATTTTAGTAAGCAGGCTGTTTTCCCTCCCTTTAAAGTCTGTATTTTGAGAGTGTTGGTTAGGCCAAGAATTCCTGAATGGTGTGTATGGTAAATATCACTATTCTAGAAAAGGCATAAAACCAGAATGATATAACAACATGAACCGGAAACAGAATGAAATGGGAGTTGACTGAGAAAAGGAACTTTTGCAGCTGCTTTTCTAAGCCAACGTTTCAAGTGACAGTGGTGAGCTGGAGGGGACCGTTTAAGCAGACAGGAAATTTATTTAAATACTCGAAAAGCTGTTTAATAAAAGATGACGTGGTCTGTTCATAAGAGTGCACACTTGTGGCTCTGAAACTTATTTCCAAATTTCAGTAGCCTTCAAATTATAAAAGCATAGAATTTCCGTAGGAGAAAAAGAACTTGGGGCTTGGTCATTTACTCCACCCCCTGGGGTCTCATAGCAGTTAAGTAACTTGCTCTTAGTGACAGGCAGGTTCTATCTGCCTGGTCTGTGCAGAGGCCTGACACTGTGCTCTCCCTAACTTTGGTTTTCTTTCTGTTTAACAGTAGATGCTGTCTGTGGCACAGGTATGTTGTCAGGCTGTGCTCAGAATATAGCATAAAAGATTCTAGTACTTCTGAGTGGGATTATTCAGCATTTATATTTAAAGTGTTTTTAGTGCTTTTAACTTTTTCTTATCAAACGTGTTCATCAGTCTGTCTGTGAAAAATTTTCTTTATGATGTCTGACCTCCTTAATTTGTTCTATCACGTAGTTATTTTGGTCCCTGATTTCGGAACAGAACTCTTTATGATTTGGAACCAAATAAAATTTATGATATTATAACTATATAATTAAATGTTAGATGATTCTCTTATCAGTTGTTTTCATGAAATAGTGGAACATCTATTTACCTTTATTACTAAGTGCACTTGTAATGATATTATGGTGAATAAAATCCAGCCCAACTTTGAGGGTGTTTTCTTTCTGTGTTGTGGTGGGGTCTCTTTTTTCAGTTCTAATTTTGCTAAAAATAGTTTTTTGTATTTGCAGCTGGTTTTAGAAGAAGTTTCCGTCTTAGTAGAAAAGATAAGAAAACAAATAAATCCATGTATGAGTGCAAGAAGAGTGGCCAGTACGACACAGCCGATGTGCCCACTTATGAGGAGGTGACACCCTATCGACGGCAGATGAATGAGAACTACAGACTCGTTGTCTTGGTTGGTAAGTGATTGTTTTGTGTGTGATGCTGAGGAAATAAGTGAGACAGTGGGAATTTAGCTTCAAAGAGAACAATGCTGGAAATTTTCAAGCTAAAAAAATCTCATCTTAACGCCTTTTCTTCGGCCTCTAAAATGAAACCTTTAGTCTTTTTGTACCTGTGACATCGAGGAGACTTTCAAGACCTCTGGGCCACGGCGTTGGCATCTTAGTGGACCCTGTGTGGGAGAGGGGAGAGCAAACACTGTCACAGTGTATTCAGCATATCAGGGCAACTAAGTAATAGAAATGAAAAAATTTAATGTGATCGTGTTTCTTTTGATTCATCTTGAGGCAGTAGCCATGGTATAAGCTTCCTATGGGTTTAGATCTTTGATGAAATTCTAGGGTGTTTAAAGCTAGAGAGTTAGCGAAACTGCGAAAAGTAAGTATATGCGGGGATTTCCATAAATATTGGTCTGATTTGCATTAACATCCTAGCCGACGTCTTGTCCAGCCTTTAAGGAGCAGACACAACCTTCGTGTCCCCACCCCACCCTTGTTTGTGTTTCTTTAAAAGTGTGGTGACAGGTGTATAGGCTCCAAGGATCAAAGCCAGTGATTTGGGGGGAAAATTTGGAGCCTAGAGCCTATCTCTTGTTAATTGTGCCTTTATAAACTGAAGATGACAGTTATGCGGATGAGAATAGATGGAAAAGCTAAAGAATCCCCCTTTTTATTAACATGGGGTCCTTTGAAGGTAACAGCATGTTCGTAACAGACGGTAGGTGGCCAGTAGGAAATGATGCAGTTTCTCACGTCCAGTGGCTCTGGAGGGGATCATGGCATCGTCAGAGATTCCCACTGTTTGCACTATTTAGAAATACCTATTCACACACTCCAAGGTTTCCTTTATTGACCGTGCCCTCTTCTAATAGTCTGTGTATACTGGACCCTCACCCCCTCTCCAACCCCACCTAGGAGAATGTTCTCCATAGGTCTTTTTGTTGCCTGGAGAGCTTACAGTGCCCCAGCTTCCCTCCTTGTGGAGCTGAGCGAGCGAGAACCCAAGCCTTCCTCAGTTCCAAGTCCTGTGGCCTTGTACTCGGGCTCCTTGGACCTCCTGCCCCTGTCCTCGCCGCACCCCTGCCCCGAGCCGCCCCTCAGCAGCACCGGTCCCTGCAGAGTCCCTCCCAGCCCTGTCGCATACCTGCTCTTCACCCGAGGTGAGGTGTACTTTGTGATAAAAGGGCAGAGGTAGTGTGATTTCCTGCGTCCCCTTAAATCTAGATGACCCTCTCTAGTCTGGGAGTTATTATTACAACTATGTAACTTTTGGTTTTCTCTACGGGATCTAATTGAAAGAAAAAAGTAGGATAAACCTTGCCTTTTTTTCTTTCCTATAGGTGCTAACATTAAAAAAAAAAACCCTTTCCTTGGGGCTGAGGAAGGGGAGATGAGGATAATTTATGAGTCTGAATACTAATCCAGGGAAGAATAAAATTAATCACAGAAGCAACTAACAATAGTTGGTGATTATGGAAAGGAAATAGCCACTCCCTAGAATCTTCCAAAGGAAAAGGGGGGTGGGGAAAGCTTGGCCTCACGCAGGTAGAATTAAGCATGGGTTTCTGTGAAATGGTCCTGTATGCAGATGTCATTCCCCAGCGCTTAAGGAAATTCCTAGTATCTATTTTGTATCTATTTTGTAGATTCCTTGACACTTTTCAGGAATAGTCAATCCTGTTATCTGTGAATAAAGACAGTTTTGTTCCTTCTTTGCAGGAATTTTTAAATTCTTGCCTTATTGTATCTCTTCCTCACTCCAGGCTCCCCAGCGTGATGGTGAATGGCAGCAGTGCTTTGTCCTTATTGAGGCAGTATTCAGTCTTTCACCAGGAAGTATGATACTAGCTATAGGTTTTTAAATAGATACCCTTTAGCAAATAAAGAAGATTCCCTTCTATTATTAGTTTGCTGAGAGTATTTATCATGAACTGATGTTGAATTTTGTCAGGTGGTTTTTGTCTGCATCAGTTGAGATGATTATATGTTTTCTGTCCTTTGATCTGTTGAAATGCTGACTCCTATAGATTGATTTTTGAATGTTGAATGAGCCTCGCCATTCCCAGCACAAACTCCACTAAGTCGTGACGTATTAGTCTTTTGTATAGCACTCCATTCAATTATCTGACCTGCAGTTTTCTTATGATGTTTTTGTCTGCTTTTGTATCAAGGTAATGCGATATTCATAAAACATGTAGGGAACTGTTTGCTTCTCTTCATTTCTCTGGGGAGTTTCTTTAGAATTAGTATTATTATTTTTTTTAATGTTTGGTAAAATTCCCCAGTGAAAACACATTTGGGCTTGGAGCCATCTTTTGGGGGAGGTTTTTAGCTACAAATTTAATTTCTTTAAAAAAAAAAAAGGGAGGGGGGAGAGGGAGAGAGAAGGGGTGGAGAGAGGGCGAGCAAGCATGCAAGAGAGTTCATTTTACATACACACACACACACACACACGCGCGCGCGCGCGCGACTGTTAGGTTTTCTTCTTTTTTATTTTTAACATCTTTATGGGAGTATAATTGCTTTACAATGGTTTCTTAGTTTCTGCTTGATAACAAAGTGAATCAGCTATACATATACATATACCCCCATATCCCCTCCCTCTTGCGTCTTCCTCCCACCCTACGTATCCCACCCCTCTAGGTGGTCACAAAGCACCGAGCCGATCTCCCTGTGCTATGCGGCTGCTTCCCACTAGCTATCAATTTTACATTTGGTCGTGTATATATGTCCATGCCACTCTCTCACTTCGTCCCAGCTTATCCTTCCCCTCCCCGTGTCCTCAAGTCCATTCCCTACGTCTGCATCTTTATTCCTATCCTGCCCCTAGGTTCTTCAGAACCATTTTTTTTTTTTTTTTTACATTCCATATATATGTGTTAGGATACAGTATTTGTTTTTCTCTTTCTGACTTATTTCACTCTATATGACAGACCCTAGATCCATCCACCTCATTATAGATAACTCAGTTTCATTTCTTTTTATGGCTGAGTTAATATTCCATTGCATATCTGTGCCACATCTTCTTTATCCATTCATCTGTTGATGGACACTTAGGTTGCTTCCATGTCCTGGCTATTGTAAATAGTGCTGCATTGAACATTGGAGTCCATGTGTCTTTTGGAATTATGGTTTCCTCTGGGTATATGACCAGTAGTGGGATTGCTGGGTCATATGGTAATTCTATTTTTGGTTTCTTAAGGAACCTCCATACTGTTCTCCATAATGGCTGTATCAATTCACATTCCCACCAACAGTGCAGGAGGGTTCCCTTTTCTGCAAACCCTGTCCAGCATTTATTGTTTGTACATTTTTTGATGATGGCCATTCTGACTGGTGTGAGATGATATAGCTCATTATAGTTTTGATTTGCATTTCTCTAATGAGTAGTGATGTTGAGCATCCTTTCATGTGTTTGTTGGCAATCTGTATATCTTCTTTGGAGAAATGTCTGTTTAGGTCTTCTGCCCATTTTTGGATTGGGTTGTTTGTTTTTTTGATATTGAGCTGCATGAGCTGCTTGTATATTTTGGAGATTAATCCTTTGTCAGTTGCTTCATTTGCAAATATTTGCTCCCATTCTGAGGGTTGTCTTTTCCTCTTGTTTACGGTTTCCTTTGCTGTGCAAAAGCTTTGAAGTTTCATTAGGTCCCATTTGTTTATTTTTGTTTTTATCTCCATTACTCTAGGAGATGGGTCAAGAAGGATCTTGCTGTGATTTATGTCATAGAGTGTTCTGCCTATGTTTTCCTCTAAGAGTTTTATAGTGTCTGGCCTTACATTTGGGTCTTTCATCCATTTTGAGTTTATTTTTGTGTATGGTGTTAGGGGTGTTCATTCTTTTACATGTGGCTGTCCAGTTTTCCCAGCACCACTTATTGAAGAGGCTGTCTTTTCTCCATTATATATTCTTGCCTCCTTTATCAAAGATAAGGTGACCATATGTACGTGGGTTTATCTCTGGGCTTTCTATCCTGCTCCATTGATCTATATTTCTGTTTTTGTGCCAGTACTGTGCTGTCTTCTTTACTGTAGCTTTGTAGTATAATCTGAAGTCCAGGAGCCTGATTCCTCCAGCTCCATTTTTCTTTCTCAAGATTGCTTTGGCTACTCAGGGTCTTTTGTGTTTCCATACAAATTGTGAAATTTTTAGTTCTAGTTCTGTGAAAAATGCCAGTGGTAGTTTGATAGGGATTGCACTGAATCTGTAGTTTGCTTTGGGTAGTATAGTCATTTTAACAATGTTGATTCTGCAATCCAAGAACATGGTATGTCTCTCCATTTGTTTCTATCCTCTTTAATTTCTTTCATCGGTGTCTTACAGTTTAATGCATACAAGTCATTTGTCTCCTTAGATAGGTTTATTCGTAGGTATTTTATTCTTTTTGTTGCAGTGGTAAATGGGAGTGTTTCCTTAATTCCTCTTTCAGATTTTTCATCATTACTGTATAGGAATGCAAGAGATTTCTGTGCATTAATATTGTATCCTGCTACTTTACCAAATTCATTGATTAGCTCTAGTAGTTTTCTGGTAGCATCTTTAGGATTCTCTATGTATAGCATCATGTCATCTGCAAACAGTGACAGCTTTACTTCTTCTTTTCCGATTTGGATTCTGTTTATTTCTTTCTCTTCTCTGATTGCTTTGGCTGAAACTTCAAAAATTATGTAGAATAATAGTGGTGAGAGTGGACAACCTTTTTCTTGTTCCTGATCTTAGAGGAAATGTTTTCAGTTTTTCACCATTGAGAACGATGTTGGCTGTGGGTTTGTCATATATGGCCTTTACTAGGTTGAGGTAAGTTCCCTCTCTGCCAACTTTCTGGAGAGTTTTTATCATAAATCGGTGTTGAATTTTGTCAAAAGATTTTTTTGCATCTATTGAGATGATCATATGGTTTTTCTCCTTCAGTTTGTTAATATGGTGTATCACATTGATTGACTCGTGTATATTGAAG